AATAAGCAATCAACATAAATCGTACTAGGAAACTAAATTAAAAACAATATAAATCGTAAAGATACAAGCAACAAAGCTATAGTGATAACTAGAAAAGGAGATAGGTAACAGAAAAGATTAGAATAGAATAGAATAGAATAGAATAGAATAGAATAGAATAGAATAGAATAGAATAGAATAGAATAGAATAGAATAGAATTCTTTATTGGCCAAGTGTGATTGGACACACAAGGAATTTGTCTTGGTGCAAATGCTCTCAGTGCACATAAAAGAAAAGATACATTCCGTCAAGAGTCAAGAATCATCAGGTACAACACTTAATAGTCATAGGGTATAATAAGCAATCAAATCATACTAGGAAACAGTCAATATACAAGCAACAAAGTTACAGTCTTACAGTCACAAGTGGGAGGGGATGGGTGATAAGCAGTGATGAGATTAATAGTAATAGTAGTGCAGACTTTGTAAATAGTTGGACAGTGTTGTTTAGCAGAGTGATGGCGTTCGGGGAAAAACTGTCCTTGTGTCTAGTTGTTCTGGTGTGCAGTGCTCTATAGCATCATTTTGAGGGAAGGACTTGAAACAGTTTATGTCCGGGATGTGAGGGGTCTGTAAATATTTTCACAGCTCTCTTTTTGACTTGTGCAGTATACAGGTCCTCAAAGGAAGGCAGGTTGGTAGCAATTGTTTTTTTCTGCAGTCCTAATTACTCTCTGAAGTCTGTGTCTGTCTTGTTGGGTTACTAATACAGTCTTACTAAATAGTTTGACAATGTGGGGGAATTAGTTGTTTAGCAGAGTGATGGCATGCGGGAAAAAATTGTCTTTGCGTCTAGTTGTTTATAGTTTGGGTTGTTTTTTTTAAATAAAGGCACAGTCAACTTCATGAGATGTGCGATGAGACCCCATTGGCTCGGGGTCTTCCTCTTAAGTCCCTGATCATTTCTTTTACACTCATGTCTGCAACCAAGACTAAGCCCATCATCCAGTACTTAATGCACTGGCAATGCAGAAGAACAGCTGATGGCCTCTGTCTAAAGCTTGGCGTTTTTTTAAGATTCAGAAATCCTCTTTTCTGTTTAAGTTCCTTTCAAACTCAAGTCCTCCTGGCATGTTGGGAGACAACCCCAGTTTCCCCCACCCCTCCACCTGCATGGCCATCTGGCCAATGAGAACCTCTGTCTGAGGCTGACCTGAGGCTCTTTGCTGCTGTCGCGTCTAATAACAATGTTGTGACGGTGCCATTCAGAGGAATAAAACCCCACTGGGGTTTGGGATACTAATCGGATTAAGCCCTAAGGCGAGACTGTGGCAGGGTGTGTTGGTGAGGAGCTCTCGGTGTTAACGGAAGACCCATTGCATCGTTGTGTAGGGAATAGAATAGAATAGAATTTTTTATTGGCCAAGTGTGATTGGACACACAAGGAATTTGTCTTAGTGCAAATGCTCTCAGTGTACATAAAAGAAAAGATACATTTGTCAACAGTCAAGTATCATAAGGTACAACACTTAATGATAGTCATAGGGTACAATAAGCAATCAAATCATTCTAGGAAACAGTCAATATAAATTGTTAGGATACAAGCAACAAAGTTACAGTCAAACAGTCACAAGTGGGAAGGGATGGGTGATAGGAGTGATGAGAAGATTAATAGTAATAGTAATGCAGACTTTGTAAATAGTTGAACAGTGTTGAGGGAATTATTTGTTTAGCAGAGTGATGGCATTTGGGAAAAAACTGTCCTTGTGCCTAGTTGTTCTGGTGTGCAGTGCTCTATAGCGTCGTTTTGAGGGAAGGAGTTGAAACAGTTTATGTCTGGGATGTGAGGGGTCTGTAAATATTTTCACAGCTCTCTTTTTGACTCATGCAGCATACAGGTCCTCGATGGAAGGCAGGTTGGTAGTAATTGTTTTTTCAGTGGTCCTAATTACTCTCTGAAGTCTGTGTCTGTCCTTTTGGGTTGCAGAAGCAAACCAGACAGTTATAGAGGTGCAGATGACAGACCCAATAATTCCTCTGTAGAACTGGATCAGCAGCTCCTTGGGCAGTTTGAGCTTTCTGAGTTGGCGCAAGAAGCCGTAACAGCTGCTGCTCACTGTGGAATAGGGCCACACCAATAAAAGGTAATCCTGGACTTACAACAGTTCATTTAGTGACCGTTGAAAGTTCCAACGGCGCTGAAAAAAAAGCCACATGACCATTTTTCACACTTACAACCATGGCAGCATCCCCATGGTTACGTGATCAAAATTCAGGCGGTTTGGCCACTGACTCATACTTGTGATGGTTGCAGTGTCCCAGGGTCTCCTTTGGGACCTTCTGACTTCTGGCTAAGTCAACAACTGTGAAGTTGTAAAACTGGACGAAGCTCACTTAAGAAATGTCTCGGGCTCGATTGTGGTCATAAGTTGAGGGTTACCCATATATTTTACTGCCTAAAGCAACAGCCGAATTCTTTATGGGTGTTGTTTTAATAGTGGCTATCTTTATTCATAAGTGGAGTTAACCCAACCTACTACAGGTAGTCCTTGACTTACGACAGGTCATTTAGTAATCATTCAAAGTTACAATGGCACTGAAAAAAGTGTCTTATGACCATTTTGACTATTGCAACTCCCATAGGGTCACATGATCTACATTCAGAGGCTTGACAAATGGTTCCTATTTAAAATGGTTGCATAGTGTTCCAGGATCATGTGATCATATTTTACGATCTTCCGACAAGCGAAGTCAAACAGGGAAGCCAGATTACAACCACAATTGAGCCTAGAATTTATGTTGTGGCCCAACTGGCGGCTAGCGGAGCTGGCAGCAGAGTCGGACAGTGAGGAGGTTTAGGGAGGAACCTGGGCCAGTCCTGGACACTGAGGAAGGCTCAGACGAGGGCTCTGCGTCAGAGGCAGAAATAGGGCCAGGGCAGGCTGGCAGTCATCAGCTGCCTTCAGAGTTGGACAGCAGTGAGGCGGGGGAGCAGCTGAAGCCGGTTCCCAGCCTGCACATGCGCAGAGCTGCCAAAAGAAAAGAACAATTACGAACGAAGGGTCGACCTGGGAGTAAGGCCACAGGTGGACGATGAATGGCCCCTCCCATAGGGATTAAAAGAGGAACAAAAGGGCTTTTGCAGGAAACAATTTATTCATTTGTTCCATCGTTGTGAAGATCTGTCTGTGCATCTCAGAGTCTCTGTGCCAGGCCCTTCCTTGTCAGCACTGCATTTGAAAATATTTACTTGGCAGCTTTCCAACCTAGATAAGGTCTGTGCTCCTAATTAGACCCTTGAAAGTGTTTGCCGGGCCTTTGGCTAAATGTGAACGTAAGAAATTCACCTTCGTTTAATAAAAGGGGTTTTACCAGGACAAAGAGTCGGCTTAGAGCTTTTTGGGGAAACCTAGGTCAGAACCCCAAGTGAAAAAATAAGTTTAAGTGAGTTTTGCCCCATTTTACAACTTTTCTTTCCATATTTGTTAAATTAATCACTGCAGTTGTTAAATCACACAGTTCTTAAGTGAATCTGGCTTCCCTATTGACTTTGCTTGTTAAAAGTTCGAAATCACATGAACTCGGGAAGCTGTGACCGTCATCAACACGAACCAGTTACCAAGCACCCGAATGTCAATCATGTGACCGTGGGAATTTTTCACACTTATGGCCGCTGCAGCATCCCCCACCGTGATCACGTGATTTACATCCGGATGCTTGACAACTGGGTCATATTAATGACCGTTGCAGTGTCCTGGGATCATGTGATTTCCCCCTTTTTACGACCTCCTGACAAGCAAAGTCAACGGGGGAAGCCAGATTCACTTAACGACCATTTTACTGATTTAATAACTGCCCTGCTTCACTTAATGACTGTGGCAAGAAAAGTCGTAAAATGGGGCATTATTTCTCCCTTAGCAGCATAAATTCTGGGCTCAGTTGTGGTCATAAGTCGAGGACTACCTTCGGACATCAGTGCCTCTGCAAGCTGCCTCCACTGTCTGTGGTACTTCAGCATTAATTGGGAAAAGTCGCCCTATTGCACAATTTTGAAATCTTGCCAAATCTGGCAACCCTTGTGAAATTGCAGATACAGTTGGAAGGTCTGAAGAAATAGGCTAAGGATAGATCATCCTGGGAAATAAAAAGAGAGTATGTGGTTGCTAGGAGTTGTAAATGACTCTCTCTCTCTCTCTCTCTCTCCCTATATATATATATATATTTGTTTTCTTAAGTTTTCACGGGTGCTTACATGCATGGTATTCAGCTTTGTTCGGGTATTTTCCCACGTCATTATAGTTGTGCTTTTAAAGTTTTAGCAACGTTTCAACAATCTCATCTGCCATCATCAGGCTTCTGTATTGTGTATATACCCGAACAAAGCTGAATACCATGCATATATATATAATTTGCACCCTGGCTTATCAATTCTGGTTTATGTTTATTGCATGTATAGGCAATACATGCAATAAGCATTCAACAAGCCATGGTTTATTCAACAAGCCATGGTTTATTCAACAAGCTGTGGTTAAAGTGAACTATGGATCAGGTCCAGGATTCTCCAGAGTCCTTCCTTTTCATAGGATCTGGAGGAAGCATCTCTTGTGTTTTCAAGGGTTGATAACAATTTTTTCCCCTTCAACTGACACCCCCCCACAAAAAAAAACCCATTGCCACTTAGTCTTGGCTTTTTTTGAGGGACAGGAACTCCGCCCGATCCCGCTCCCAAAAAAACCAAAACCCGACTCCTGTGTCTTTCTCCACTTGGACCCGAAGTGTCGCAAACCCGAGAGCCAGAGGAACCACAAGCCACGCGATTTTTCCCCGTGGTCTTTTTTTTTTTTTTTGGCGCCCGCCCGACTCCACTTTTCACCCTGATGGAGGCACAGAGAAACTCGGATTTTCTCTCTATCCCCCACCTTCCTCTTTTTTTTTTTTTTTGCCGGCTCTGGCGCATGCGCAGTGTTTCCAACAGGCGCCGCCGCCGCCACAACCACCCTGCCGCACGCCACCCTGTCTCCCCCGGGCAGCTGCGCTGCGCGTCTCCCGGTATATACAGTATCCGGCTCGTTGACGCGCACGCGTGACGCACGCACGCACGCCCGGCGGTGGCCGTCCTCGTCTCCACACCCCGTCTTGCCTGGTCAAGTGCGGGCGGCTCCGCTTTTGCCCACCTGAGTCCCTCCCCTCAGCTTCGGGGGAGGGGGGGAAAGTGCGGTGAGTAGGCGCCGGAGGAAAAACCGAGGGCGGAGGGCGGGAGAGGCCTCGCTTCAAAAGGGAAGGGGAAAAAAAAAAAAACCTTTTCCCCCCCCCCCCCCGCGCCCCTTCCCCCCCCCCCATCTCAGGCTCCCGTCTGCAGAGGCGCTCGGCCCCTCCCGCGCGGCACATGGGCCGGCCCCGCCCCTTTCCCCTGCCTGGCGGCCCCGCCCCTCAGCGCGAGCCCCTCACGCGCGGTTTCCTTGGAAACCGCTCCTTGGCCCCTCCCTCCCCCTCTCTTCCTTCCACGTGGTTTCTGTTTGCTGCTCTTCCTCCTCGTGGATGCCTCGCTTGGCCTCTTTCCCAAAACGGGTGTGTTTCTCTCTCTCTCTCTCTCTCTCTCTCTCTGTTTGTGTGTGTGTGTGTGTGTGTTTTTTCAGCGCATTCCCCTCCCCGCCCCGCCCACTTGAATCCCTGGCGCCCCGTTTACGGGTAGTCCCCGACTTACGACCGCGATGGAGCCCAGGATTTAGGTCGCTAAGTGAGCAGCAGTTCGTTAATTCGCCCCAGGGGACCACACCTTTTCTTGCCAATGTTGTTAAGGGAATCCCTGCAGTTGTTAAGTTACTCACAAGGGAATCTGGCTTTCCTCATTGACGCAAAAGGGCAAGTGAGTCAGTTGTCAAGCATTCGGATGTAAATCCACATGGGGATGGTGCATTGGTCATAAGTGTGGAAAATGGTCATAAGTTGCTCTTTTTGGTGAGACTGTGGGTTAAGGGAGTGTTGCCACAGCGGTCAAGGCAACCGATGCAGTTCTTCAGTTAGTCACACGGTTATTGGTGTTGCTGAGTTTATGGCTGCCGTGATTCGCTTAACACCTGTAGCAGGAAAGGTCGAACAATGGGCTAACGTCCACTTAAATGTTTGGCTTAGCAACAGAAATGTTGGGTTCTATTGTGGTCATAAGTCGAGGACTACTGCTGTAATGGGTTTTACCTAGAGCTATCCTTTCATTTGATCAGATATCTGCCAGTAGCACAGAATATAATGGCCAGGTGCTGCATTCACCTTTGCACATAAAGCAACTGTACTGCTTCAGTTAGCAACTGAAGGTGAACAAGTAAACATACTTGTATTTACCTAATGGCATTTATGGCTCTAAAAAACTTAACACCAGATTATATCTTGACCTGCACTCATTATCACCCTGGTGGTCTTTCATAAGACCTTAAAAACTACTTCTGTGTCCCAAGCTCTCCTGGCTGTATTAACCACTGTGGATTGTGATATCTTTCTTGGCTGGTGTGTATTTCAATGTTTACATCTGCAATTGGAATTATTTTAATTTATTTTAACTTTTTTGCCACCTAGAGTCATTTATCAGGATGGGAGGCTGTACAGAATGAATGAATGAATGAATGAATGAATGAATGAAAATTACAGATTGGAGTAGTTGTCATTCTGCAAATTCTCAAGCCAACAACTATGTTGTGGTTCACATTTTTCTAATTGTTGCATAGTTTCTCTCATCAATTGAGAACTCTAGTTTTGCTTAAGTTTTATTACAGGACATAGTCATTCCTGCCCATCTTTCCTTTCACTTTTCTATATCATCTTTCTTGTTGGTACCACTACTCCTACTTACTTGCAAGTGATTGTGAACCTATAAGATCTTGCAGATTAGCTAACCCCATCTTAGCCTAGGGTGTTGTGTGAATTGAGTCTTTGTGGCCAGAAAAATGAAATCATTGTGGATAAACTCATCACATGGACCAAGCTGAGAGTACATTTGCATATGATACAAACTTCTGCAGATCTGACTTCTATATCCCACATATCATACCTTATTTTTCTTTGCATATATAGATCTCTGGTCTTGTTTCAAGGCTATTTGCTCCATTTCCTTAAAGTTGCATGTTAGTTTTCTGTATCTCATGTCATGCTTGCTTTTTGCCTTGTTTTTTTCAAATGGGTATCTTAAATATGTCCAGTTTAATGCACCAAACAATATCACATTGAGTATTAAATGAGCGATGAAGAATATACCTAAAACCTCTGCCTTGAACATGCTAATTATCTTTATTAAATGACAACAGCATGTATCTTATTTAGAATATAGAATTAATCTCTCAATCTGTTTATCCCTCCATGAATTACAGTACCCCATGATATGATATTTGCTTTTTTTGGAGACTCTAAAGTGACAGAAATCTTCATGGAATAAACTTGTAATAATTGGATATTAGAGACAATATACTTCTGTTTGTCAGATAGTGATCGTGAAAGGATGCCTGTTATTCTTACACTGCCCTGAAAAGCATTTGTAGTGTAACATTATATGGTAAATATTACATGGGTTTCCTGGTCATGTTAGTCCCCTATGCATTTATTTTCTAACTTGTGCTCAATTTAAACATGCATTAATCAATTTCCCCCCTACAATTTCTTGAATACTAGTCTTTTTTGTGTGTGTGTGGGGGGGGGGGGGGGGGGGGGGTTGGAACACCTGTATTTTATATAATATCACTTATATGCTGCAGTTTGGAAAATTTATATTGCCCATAACACGCCATGTAAATTTTAGATGCTACATTTTGAGAATGTGTAAGTTGTGTCCCTCTAAATGTACTTCATGAGAAATGAGGTACCTAACTCACTCCCAAAAGAGCAGTGAGAAAAATGACACTTAATCATGTGGTTCCCCAGGACATTGCAAATGTCATAAATATGAACCAGTTGCCAAGCATCCAGAATTTGATCATATGACCTCGGGGAATGCTGCAATGGTAGTAAGTGTATGAAATGGTCATAAGTCTCTTTTTTCAGTGCCATTGTAACTTGAAATGGTTACTAAAAACGGACGTAATATGGTCATAGCCCCCAATGCTAGGTTAGTAATCTTGCAGCCCTTTATTAGGCAAACTGTGATTTCTGAACTTTATTTAAAGATATTCCAACCTGTGATGTATTGCACTAACACAGGTGGGAGGTTACAAAAGCATGTCTAATTGTACAAATATTGCTAAGCTGCGCACAATAACAGATACTTGAAAGCCATTGAAGCGAGCACTAGATCCATTAATCTTCCTCACAGGTAAGGTTTTTCACTGGGCACACTGACCTTTCATAATTTCATCTGAATGCCATTCATTTTAGCAGTTGACCCACTGACCCATTGACTTAGCTTGCTTATGATGCTCTCAATTTGTCCTCATCAACTCCATCCAGAAACTGGGTTCAGCTAAAATAGAACCACAGCTGTTTCCTCAAGATGAAAGAGAAATCTGGGAGTCATTTGTGTATTTATGACCTATGACCCCTCTTCAGTGGTTTCATCAAGATATTAAATAACTTAGCAGAGATAATAAAATCCTGAAGTGGGCTCAAGATATAATTAAAAACTCTTCGCACAGAGTTCCAGAAGTATTCATTCAATTTTCTCTTGTACGGTTCTGTGACTGAACATGATGGATTTGGAAATAAAGCTGATAGAACTTAACTCCAAATGTAAATTTACCTAGCTTCAGAGTGGCAGTCTTTTGATGCTTCTTTCATGGTCATAATGTTGATAGTTAACACGGTGGTTTTTAAAGGTATTACTGAGTTATATGTGAATCAGGGAGGGTTTAATGCTTCGTTTTTCTGTCTTCCTATTTGTTTTATTGTACATAATCTTGGTAGCGCTAATTTATTCTATAGCTAATCTTCAAACAAAGATCCCTCCTGATGACCATGTAACTATATTATCAATCAATAATTTGCAGTTCGATTTCTGTCTCTGCTATTATCTTTCAGAAATTAAGCTTAATTGGAACAGCAATTTATTGGAAGAGCAAGTTAATTAGAAGTCTGAAATACGCCTAGATTTATTAACAGCTCATTAAAATGAAGATGCATCTGTATAACCTTGCTATCATGTATTTTAGCTTTTAGTTGCAGATTTTAATTTTATATTATCTTGTTTAAGGAAGTGTGAATATATAGTAGTGCTTTGGGCTTTCCTTGTGTCCGTACAGTTACAAAATATCTTGATATGTTGTGCTAAGGTGCCACTTTTTAGATGAGAAACCATTTGCTACTAACTCATGGATATCTTTCAGTATATCAACATAACTGGATGAGCAGCTTAGAAATGTCTAATTTTTTTGACTTTTTAATTGCTTGGTGTACAACTGATATAATGTACATCTGACATTTTTGCTTTCAAATTGTTAATACCATTGTGTGGTATTCATTCATTTTTCATCATTCAGTTTTTTCCCCTCTTTGTGGAAAAAGCATACCAAATGAAGGATTGGTTTAAAAAAAAATGGAAAGGCTTTAATATTATATCATGCTTACAAAGCCCCAAATGTGTGTACTGCTATTATTATTACACTGAAATCATTATAAGAAACATCAGAGACAGTGGTACTTTATGCATAAAAATTAGCTGATTGAAGTACTGTTATTGTCAAGTCTTCTTTTAGTGGAAATTAATATACTCCATTTTTTATCTATTATGCCATTTTGAGTAGCTATTCCAGGTGCTTTAATGATTCCCAGGGACATGCTTAATTTTTAATGATTAGTAAATAGCAGTAATATTCCTTTGCCTCCCTCTTTTGATTATGTTGACCTAGTAGATGAGTAAAATAATGTGGAGATCTAATTGCAGTATATTGTTTTATAAATGGCATAAATAAACTATTTTATAAATACCCTGCACAAGGATTCTATTTTTCTATGCCTGACAGGTGTAGAACCAGCCCTTCTAGCAATTTTAAAATTACTTTTGTATATTTTGTTTTGCATTAATGTATCCCTATCCTGCATTAAATTTCACAGGTGGGGAAATTCTATATAATATGTAGTGAATTTCCTTTGAATATCATAATCTATGTACGTGTGTGTGTGTGTTTGCAACATGTTTTCTGTCTGAAAAAATGTGCTTTTTTAGTATACAAAGCATATGCAACTGTCTAGCTTCATTTGTAGGCCTTGTAGAAAACTCTCCAGCTTTTTTTGAATTTGTGCTA